TATGTTCTCTTCTAAGAGCATGAGTAATGGTGAGTCTAAAGTGGAATGACACACACTGACATGAAAGTTTTCAATGAATGAAAAAAGTCTAGTAAGCGAGTGGTAAGTAAGTTGAGTGACATTGGCTGGAGTACTAGTCATTATATTTGTCATTCTTTTTACAAATTTTGGATGTGTTTAAATTATTAAAAATTGTTTTATTTAGCTAATTTTTTCAGAAAAATACTACTACTCATTTTATAAATGCTACTACTTATTTTAATGAAAAAAAAGAAAGAAATTGGGAGCCATTGCCTTGCGCATAGCTTGCAAGGTGTGGAGAAAAGCGTTAGCCATGTGAGGCAAAATAAGATTTTGGCTTATTGGGCAGGCATGGCAATGGCAAAGCCACGCTACTACCATTGCTCTTATTATTACATTTCTTGTGGATCAAAATATATCAAGTACATTTATGATTTATAATACATACACCTACAAAAATACCATACATGTAAAAATTGTATACATCACTATGAGTTACTTAGTCATTCCTTTCTTTTAGTGAACATTTGTGTACTCTCACTTTTTTACTATCTATGTTAGTTTTTTGTGTCGTACGTTGACAAAGTATATACAAAAATTTATAATGAAATAAAATATAAGAAATACACATCACTATTTGCTTCAAAATTGAATTGGTTAAAAGATAATGTTTGCTAAACATTAGACACGAAAAATGAAACAAATAGTTAAAAAATGGAGGGAGAATTCTTTAACGTATAATTATGTTGTAATTATTGAACATCTCATTGGTGGTTACGGAGACATAACTTGTGTAATTGTATTTGATTTAATTGTAAAAATTTGTAATTAGTTAGTCAAATCTGCCTCAATTTGGTATGTTGTTTGTATCAGGGGTGTCGTACACAAACATGTTCGATGCAAATTTCGACACACTGATGTGGTTATTGAAGAAAGCAGGATGTGAAAGCGTGAAAGTAATTGTGGGGGAGGTTGGGTGGCCAACAGACGGTAATGCCAAGGCAAATATGAAAATGGCCGAGAAATTCTACAAGGGATTTCTTCAAAAAGTTGCAGCAAAGAAAGGGACTCCAATGCATCCTGGCCAGATAGATGCCTACCTTTTTAGTTTAACTGACGAGAACATGAAGAGCGTGGCTCCAGGTGATTTTGAGCGTCATTGGGGGATATTTAGCTATGATGGTAGGCCTAAATTCCCAATCGATTTCACCACCAAAGGTCACAACGAGAGTCTACCTGTGGGGGCAAAGAACGTGCAATATTTACCAGCACAGTGGTGCGTTCTTGATTACAATGCAAAGGATCTGAGCACTTTAGGATCCAACATCCAGTATGCGTGCTCACTTTCTGATTGCACAGCATTGCGCCCTGGATCTTCTTGCCAAAATCTAGATTCAAAGAGTCGGGCTTCATATGCCTTTAACATGTATTACCAAGTAAATAATCAAGATGTAGAAGCTTGTGATTTCCAAGGACTTGCTAAGATTGAGAGGAAAAATGCATCCACAAGTGAATGCTTGTTCCTTATTGCCTTAGAGAGCACATGCTTAAAGATTGGCAGCATGAGGGTTGAAACAATCATCATTTTCGAGATCTTCATCTTTTTCGCACTCTTTTAGGAGTCATTTTTGAAATTCCATTTTTATGGTGCTTCATTTTTACATAATAGGGACTTCAAAATAATTGGTTGAAATATTATATGTAAACGATGAGAAGGAAAATGCAGAATTCTTCAAAAATAATTCCCATGTAAACTTTGGAAAAAATTCCTCTCCAAGAGGCTTCTTTAGTGGTACCCCATCATTTTTCCCATAAACTGGAATGCTACCCATGCTTCATCGTAGAAAAGTAAAGTACCATACTTGTAATGCTATAAGGGGAATTGTGTAAACAATAAACCTACCACAGAAAATTGATGATTACAATCTTACATAATTAATATAAAAACAAAAAATTATATTAAAATGTGAAATATCACAATTCTTGGAATGATGAAATGTAACGCCACATAATGTGGCCTAAAATTTATCATAAAAAAAGTAGTTTTGAATATAATTTTGGTCCAATAAGGAATATTTGTACGTTTAACCAAAAATAAATGGATTTTCAAAATAATAACTTTTTGTTAAAAACTTATTTTTATGGATATGTCTCGAAGAGACAAATCCAACAGTACATTTTATTAACCAATTTGATTTATAGATTTCAAGCTATGACGATTTTAAATATTAAAATTTATAAATTTGACCCATAAATTAAACTCAATTTAAAAGTGATTTCATAAGATTAGAAATCTTAATCTTTGACACTTGACAACACCATATTCATCATTTCGATTTAATTCATATATTTTTATCTCATTCATATTATTAAATTAATTTAGGCTAAGACAAACCCGGACACTAAAAAATAAAAGTTTTTAGAAAAATATTTTGATTACGTCAAAATTCTAGTTTTGGCAGTCTCATTCCAAAAATACAATCCGTTTTCAATTCGGAGCAGTTTGGGCGAAAAAGCACATCCAAAAATACAATCTGTTTTGATTTATAGATTTCAACCAATGTAGACCAGGTGTCCCGCTTTGGCGTGTCTGTTGACTGGTCGAAACCGATATCGACGAGTGAGTAAGCGTCGGAAGGCACAAACTTAATATTACAAGGGATTTTGATGTGGTCTCACTTATTGTATGTGTCGCGCACATACTCTAGCGATCAAAATATGAACATGCATTTAACCATACAAACAAGTATAACAAAACATGTCATGATTGTGGTTTCCTAAAGGAACTAACGATAAAGCTTTCTCTTGAGATCTCCATCTTCCTTCTTTTGGAATGCTTTAGTCTTCATGTTCAGCTCTCCATTGTATTCTTCTTCTTCTTCCTTGCTTCTTCATTGACTTCTTTATTTTATTTAATCGAGAGAAAAGAATCCTTACTTTGTGAGCAAGGGGTATGAGGTTTAAGAAGAGATTTACAACCAGAATTTAAAGATAAGGCACGACACGCAAGTCGTATTTAAAAACACACATTCTTAAGCCACAATCATGCACCATCCAAACATACATACATCACATGCATAATAGGGAGAAAAACCAAAATAGCACTCTTAGAGCCTTAAAATACTCTAAATAGCAGTGCTATATGTTTCGTACCTGTGATTCCGATTTTGTCCTTTAATTAAGTAGCAAATATTCATTACACACCGCTAAAAAATATGATTGTTTTGGGCAGTGTGGTTGTTCACTTGTAACTGTGTAGTGGGCAGTGTGGTTTTTTATACGGAGGATGTGAGTATTTAATTTGGCAGTGTAGAATAGATATATGTAGTAATATCTTACGATAGTGAGTAAGTGTATTATTGTGTTCCTTAACTTCATTTTGAAGTGTAATGTCCATTGATTTATGTGGCAGTGTTTTCATGTATAAATTCTACACTGTCAAAAAGTGTATGATTGTTTTCATGTATGAATTCCACACTCCCCAAAAAATGTGTAGCTCTTTTTATGTATGAATTCCACACTGTTTTCATGTATGATTTCTACCCAGCCAAAAATGCGTATGACTGTTTTCATGTATGAATTCCACACTGCCCAAAAATGTATGACTGATTTCATGAATAATCTATTACACCAAAATACACTGGCCAAACATGGGCGTTAAATATGGAACTTAATTTAATACCTACGAACTTGGTTAGGCATTATACATTGATAAACTGCGTAGAAGAAGGATCTCGTAGAGCTATAGTAAACGACGTAAGATGATATTCTCCCACGTATGAGACGCACAAATGAGGAGGAGCCGCACGTATGAGGAGGAGTGGCTACGTGAATAACCTAAGTTTAATCAAATAATTAAAAGTAATTAAAATTAGTAGAATATAATAAAAGGTAGAAGGTATGCTTGGAAGATATTGACACTATAAATTGCTAAATTCGTATAATAGATTAAGGAGTGCTATATGCATAATATTGAGTGACTTAGAATGCTACGTAGGGTGATTTATTTGCATAATATACATACACCGGGCAAGCCGCGCTCACCCGGACCTAGTTTATTCTAATTAAAATTAAACTACAAGCCTAAAATTATCAAACAATTTATAAAATTTATTTTAAGACTTCTGAATACTCAGAATATTTAATTCTGAATTTTCAAAAATTTTAAAATACAATATCGTAAATATATGTATTTATTTCGATATTCGGATTTTTTCGATATTCGGATTTAATTTGAAATAAATACTTATACCTTTTGAAAATTAATAAAAAAATTCCTGAATATGTACTTGAATTTTATAAGTCCAAAAATCAAATTTTCAGAATTTATAAAATATTAATTTCATAAGTTCCAAGTATTCACTCGATAATTAAGAGATAATTTCCAAAATTTTTTCCTTATATCATTAATATTTCCAAAAATAAAATTTTGATAACATAATGATATTATAACCGAATAATAAATTTCCAGATTCTGAAAAAAGTAAATAAGTAATCTTAGAAAATTCTTTTCAGTAATTCAAAAATTACCGAAACAGAATTTTAAAAAATTAAAAATTTACTATTTTGAATTATAAATTTTATTCCAAAACTTGTATACAATATTAGAATCATATTTCCAAATTTATAAAATGATATATTCTAATTTTAATTATCTAATTCCATTTAAATGATATATTCTAATTATATAGAATCATATTTCCAAATTTATAAAATGATATATTCTAATTTTAATTATATATATATATATATATATATATATATATAGAGTTTGGATCAAATAAGAAAAAGATCTAATGAAAGAAATAAGAATAAATATCAACCATTGGATTCACCTTATCAGCCACTTCCCATCTAAACCGTAGCAAGGGTAAAAAGGAACTTTACCACTCTGCGTGTTCGTTCCATCTTCTTCTCCGTGAATTAAGCCCACGTTCCTGCGCACCTTAAGTCCCGGTTACGACGCATTTTCAGTTAACGGAAGTCATTATTTGGGATGGATTCTTCTTTAATTCTTCAGCATGTACGCCTGCGTCCTCCTCCATTCATAATAATACTCTCCGATATAGGATCTACCGGCGTGCCCCCTTTGTTTAACCTATGGAATTTCACGGAGACAAGGAATACGCGATGGATTTTCACTCACAACCAGGTAACCTTTTAATTCAACCCTGCAATTTTGTAATTTTTGGTATCATTCGGGCAGATCATCTCTTTTTTTTTTTGGAAAAATTTAGAATTTGTGTGATCGAAAATTCTGTAATTGTGTGAATTTCGAATCTCTGGGATCAAGAACTCTGCACTAATCCTAATTCTGATCGTCGCATTTCACCAATTAATGCATACAATGAACACAGTAATGCATTTTCCCTCCAAATTTATGCACTATAATCATCATAGTTCACACGTCCCAGAAAAAAGAAGCAATTCACACCAATTGTTTAGCCATTACTTTGCCAGGTCTCACTACTAAAGCTGTTAATTCATTGCTTCATATTAAAACAGTTATGTGCCACTCACTGTTATATTGATCCACTCGAGTGTAAGTCGCCTTCCACACATGAATGACCCGTTGAGGTCATGCTTCGTGCACTAATATCCTGAAACCGTTTTTAAATTATACTAGTTTAGTACTCCACTTCTATGCTGAGATTTTAATACATTCCTAAAATGAAATATTTAGGTGTCATCCTCAAATTTTGGTAAATTCGCTTGACTTGAAAATGCAATATACAACCTACACAGTGCACTTTTATCCATTCTTATACCCCAAATCAAATGCACAAAATATGCTCCTACTACGTATGTTATTTCAATATCATGCCTTCACGTTGTGGTTGTATTATTAAAATAGTGCTGAATTATTCACTTGTATTCATACAGCTACCCCCACAAAGTATCAGGAAGTGCCAAATGAAGGCAGCAGCTCTTACGTTGAACGTCATTGGGTCCCGCAATGTCCTGATAACTACATTCCAAAGGTCGGCATGGTTTTTAAGGACTTGGATGATGCTATTCGTTTCTATCGTGCTTATGCTGCTGAGGCGGGGTTTGATGTGCGCAAGACTACCACTACAAAGAAAAAGGGCTCTGTTGTTTGGCAATACGTTGTATGTAGCCGTGAGGGTAAAAAACATGTCCCCACAATCTCCCACAATGATGCATCACATGACAATGGACAGGCTGCATTATCTAAACCTGGGAGAAGAAGACGCGTTTCTAAGCGCATAGGCTGTATGGCACGTGTTGCATTTCGCATCCTTGGACATGATGGTTACGTTCTCAGCATATTCGAAGAACAGCACAATCATCCTCTCACTTCTCTCCCTTACAGGCCATTTTTGAAGATCAACAAGAACATTGATCTAGGCCATAAGAAGTTCATACTCAACTGTGCTAAGGCAAACATTGGCACCATGAAATCAAACTGACTTTTCAAGGAGTCCGTTGGTGGGTATTCAAGTGTTGGTGCTACTGCTGTGGACTTCAAAAACTTCAAACGCGATTTGAAGGCCTATATTGCTGGTGGAGATGCTCAAATGGTCATTGATAAATTATTCCGAAAATCAGAAGTATGCCCTGGATTTAGGTTTGATTATGAAGTTGACGAGTACGACCAGCTTTCCAGGCTATTTTGGTGTGACGCTGCAGCCAGGAAAAGCTACTCCCTGTTTGGTGATGTGGTCTCCTTTGATGCCACATATACAACCAACAGGTCACANCTGTCAAGCGAGGACGCTGAGTCATATTCATGGTTGTTGAGATCATTCATGAACGCGATGGGGAATGCTCCAAGCTGCATCATAACTGATCAAGATCCTTCAATGCGAATTGCAATTGAAGAAGTCTTACCGCAAACCAAGCATCGGTATTGCATGTGGCATATTATGAACAAACTATCAGGGAAAGTTGGTCCGGTGTTAAGCAAGGATACGGAATTCATGACTCGCATTAATCAGGTGGTCTGGACTCATTACTTGGACAAAAAAGAATGGAAAGCACAATGGCGCAGTGTTATGGCAGACTACAACCTCACGGAGCATTCGTGGTTCAAGTCATTATACACGTTACGTAAGTTTTGGATTCCAGCTTATTTCAGGGATCTATTTATGGCCGGGCTTTTGCGCACTACGTCTAGATCAGAGAGTGAAAACAGTTTCTTTGATGATTTCACCAACCGCAACTTTAGCCTAGTTGAATTATTAATGCAATTCGAGAGTGCAATGGAGGACCAGCGGTTCAAATTTACTCGTTTGAACTCAGAATCCGAGTCGGGAATTCCAGTGTTCAAAACCCCATTAAAGATTGAGAAACATGCTGCATCGTTATTCACTCTCTCTATCTTTTATGATGTGCAAAAAGAGATTTGTGCATCCTGCTTTTCATGCGCTATTGTAGGTATCCAAAACAGTGAGGATGCTTCCGAGTATCAGATCAGCGATGTAAGTGGGATGATTTCAACTGTCTGCTACTGTCAACGCAATGGGACCACGCACTGCAGTTGCAAAAACTACGAACGCATTGGCTTGCTATGCAGGCACATATTTGTTGTTTTCAAAAATCTGAAAATAGAAAAGATCCCCGACTTGTATGTTACCAACCGCTGGTGCAAATTCCATTTGCTCAAACCAATGTTCGATGTCGGTGGCTCAGAAATGGACAAGGTATCATTTACGGATCAAAATAAGACTCTTGTTTCTCGATTGATGTCAGACATCCACTTTTGTATTGCGTTGGTGGAACACAACCCTGATTTGTTGCTAGCATTTTCCAACACTATAAATCAGCACAAGGAGGCGCTAATCGACAAACTTCAAGATGGCAAACTATCATCTGACACATCCTCGGTGTTTGAAAACTTTTGTGGCACTTCTGCACCTTCCGAACTTCGTGTTTTACCCCCTGCGCAAGTCTGTACGAAGGGCAGCGGTAAGCGTATTAAAGGAGGGAAGGAAGTTAGCATTGAAGAATCAAAGAAAACCAAACGCTTGTGTCGGACATGCAAAGAATATGGCTTCCACGACAGCAGGAACTGTCCTATGAACCATGAGAAGTGATAAGTCTGTTTTCCGGTTCCATTTTTATTGTTTATTAATGGTTCAGTTATTTTTATTCCATGGTTCAGTTATTTTTATTCCATTTATAAGTCTCTGTTTTTTTCCAATCTTTTGTAATCCTGAATACTTATAATCAATTCCAATGGTTGAATGTCTCATTTCCAACCAGACCGTTGGTTTATAACATGCTCATTTTCTTAATCTACCACCTACTTTTACCCCTGTTGCATTTTATTTTTTTTATACTGCATAACCATCAGTTGGCACAGAACAGACCAGTCTTTAACTGAATTTTCATATAAGAGTTGTGCATTCCACCTTAAAGATTTATTTCATACCAATATCTGCATATATTGAAGTGGCTATGATGCATATTTTAACATTACCTCATGTATGGATTTGTTTTCACTGAGGTTTTAAAACCATACATAGTGGGGTTCTGTTTACTGAAACGTGTTCTCCCCGTTCGCAGAACGTATATAAATGTTAACGCATATAATGTACATCATGTCATGTCATTATAAAAGATGCGGCGCAGAAACCCAGAAATGCACAAGCAAACCACTCGAATGCATCATTTAATCTTATTTGGGTTTAAGGATTTTCGATGGAAAAGAAAAAAATGGTTTTATTCCCTTTTCCTCTGCAAAATGGGATGAGTTTGATTTCATTTCCATAAATATATATTTGCCTTGTCACATTCTTTTCTTGCAAATTTTACTATCTAACCGAACAAGACACAATCATTTTTCCTACTATTTCCTTTTCCAACCAAGAATCCTTGAGCCAAATATGGTGTTAATAAACCACTAGTGTCCTTCACTATACAAATGCTTTATTATAACAGTATTAAAGTCATTTAGTTATGCATACATTGGTACTTATGTTCTCTACGTTCATATCACAATGCGGCAACCTCTGTTACGAACAACTACAATTTCAATCACTTCATCAATCGTTATGCTTACAAATCTCAAAACAGAAAACTTGTTTAATAATCACGCAAACTAACCACTTACAACACTCCTAAAATACGTAATGACAAACACCTTCTAAAAAAAAGGCAATTCATCATCACGCGACACACCACATAAATCAAGCCACGAATTCCCAATTTTAGCAACACCACACCTTCATTTAAAAAACCATAACCATTCACACCATATTCCAAAAAAACCTCTGCCTCAAGAAAATCAGAAATACCCAACTATGGGCTGATTACTTGTTCCCAAAAAATAATTCCACCAATGAACTGTGTCACCAAATGTGACCAAAAACAAATTAAAATAGTGATAAAAACACAAAGGTAAGGTGCAGCCATTCCAGGGGTGGGTTCACTTAGGACCCTTTTCCTTCCTCTCCCTTTCGAGTTTCTCCGACTCTTCGTAAACCTTGTCCAACAGTGCATTAATTGGGCTTAAAAGTATACATGCACAGTATTTGCATCGCAGCGCCATCAGAGGTTTCAAATTTAACCTTGACAAGCCACAGTTCCATCCTTTGCCACCATCCCCCATATACGTCTCCATATGACGCATAGTTGCCACACCGTAGTCAAACGTAGCCTTCGGATCTCTCCAAGGGAACGTAATTCTCTTAGCAACCATTTCTCTAACACATTTACCTTTGTAAACAAACCTCTGCTGCTCAAGAAAATCACCCAACAACCTCACCTGGTTGCAACATTTCATGTTAATAATTCATCCACATTAATATACCTTATATTAAAACCATGCACCCAAAGTTCTTACAACTCGTTTTGGCATGTCACCATATCTGTCTTCGGTTTTTGCTTTCGCTGAAGAGCTATCCAAGATGTCACAGCGTCTGCTCTTTAGGTCAACACACAACACATATGCCCAGTTCTGTTGCATAATTGGAAAGAAAAAATGCACATAATCCAAAAAATGACACATTAACAAATTCACTCAAACACAATGAACAACCAATAAACCACGCAGAACGTTACAACCGATTTCAATCTTCACATTTCATCTACTATAAACATTCTTACCAGTTCAGCTTTCCCCCAGTTGAAATCATCTGCCATTTCATCCCATGCAGGAAGCAGCGCATTTGCAAACATGTTCTTCACGTTTGCCTCAGACACATCGACTATATCCCCATTTGCTACCTATTGTTTTCAAAACATGTCAGCTCAAGCATCATGGGAAACACCTATCTAACTTAAGTACGCACACAAAAAAAATAACAGCTTACACAATCCATGCTTCTAGCAAACACACGTAACGGGGATTCCTCACTTCTGAATTTCTCATTGTGGTTGAGTATTATTGACCACACATCTATCACCCTCTTTGAAATATGCTTCCCTATGTCCAACGACGCAATTTCACCTCTTGTTAACTCAAATCCATCCTTCACGAAAACAGCTTCATCCCTAAACATCATAATATGTGATTATTAAAGACCTAAAATTCAAATTTTAAACCATACATATTCAATAATGTTCAAACAAATTTGCAGACTTGAAAATAAAAACATACTTTGGAGCATTTGGATTCTGCAACACCCAATTCGTCACCCTCTTCTCAAAGGCCCGGCAGATAACCCATTTGAAGGTTCAACCGGTCGCGTAATGTAGGGTGATCTCAAAGGCCCGGCAGGTTTTATACTCCTAGCCAGCTTCCTTGCTGCATTGTATTGCTTCACCTCCTACAAATCAAAAATATTTCTCATTTTGTCAAAAAAAAAAATCCAGCCCAAACACCAATTACCATGCACGAATTAACTTTTGGCATCTCCCAAAAAACATTCGTACCACTGCTTTTGAAGATACTGGATCAGTTCCTGGCACAGTTACATCACCCACTGCACTCACACCAGCAACCTACGCATATATCAACCATTGGTGTTTTCACCACGAAACATAACGCAACACACAAATCACCAACACCACTAAAAATAACGGTCTTACCGCTGCCATTCCAAGCCTATCCGGCTGATTTCTACTTTCACCTGCCAAATCCCTATCAACTGCCTGCATCATCAAACAAAAAACAAAACAAAACCATTACGAATTGTTTAGGAACACCAAAACAACATGCTACACAACACCAAGGATCACTCTATAGCAATAATAAAAATTACATCTCCCACACGATAATGCACTTCTTCAGGTGTTATGAAAACATTTTCAACCACAGGGTTACTCTCCGGCTCATTCACTACCCGAACTGCTGGAGTGCTAGGAGTATTTCTGAAAGCACCGATATCACCACCATCAATATTCACATTCTCATTCACACCATCCATTTGCGAGAACCCCAGACTGAAAGATGGCATATCCTCCATGATCTTCTTGTATTTTGAACGTGCCAGCACTGCCTCTTCAGTCGCCATCAACTGTTCTATGTTTGCAGCGTTGCTCTAGAAACCTTCATCATAAGTTACTTCTGAAAAACCTCCATCAGGTGTTTCTAAGCTTACACCGCCTCTACGTTGTGCCAGACCTAACAATCTACCCGCTGCATGCTGTAGCTGCTTGAACACATCATTCTCCATAGTACCAGGTGGTGCACTCTCAATCAACGACACTAGGTCGATGATTGTGGTAGCCAGTACTTTCCCCTTTTCTGCAAACTTTTGAACAAAAACCTGATGCATAAGGGTGTCATAAAATAAAAAGAATTAAATTTCAACAACCCAAAAAACATAAAATTCATTTGTTTGCCAACTAATCCCCCCCGCACTTACCTCTACCGGATCATCCCTCGCCTCTCCCATTGGTTCTGCCGTGTCACCATTACCAGTTTTGACATTAACCTGTTCTAAACAAGCACCAACAACTGCGTCACCAGAGCTCACATCCATCACCTCACCCAGAAATCTACCATCGTCATACCCCAACCCGAATCCACCTGCTTTGACCTCGTTATTTTCCCTATCCCTTAGGATCTTAGATGTCCATCCCAGAAATGCAAGCGACATTCTCTCTACGTCTCTACTATAGAGCACCACTCGGTCAACGTAGAACACCTTAAAAAAAAGATAACAAAGACTACATTAAAAAAACTACATTATAATGAAGTAAATAAGAGTTGTCAGAAAACAAAACTCTTACCATCAAGCACAATAGTGGTCCAGTATAGTATTTCCTATTCCCCTTCTCCCACTTCACTCTACTATCAGTCAAAGATCGGTGCACATACTCACACCAGTTTAACTGTGCAATCCCATCCACATCCTCCAAGCTTTTCAAAACCCAATTGTTTACATATCCATGGCTTGGGCTTTCAACCAAAACAGACACAACTAACAACACGAAAAGACGACAAAACCATACACCACCATCAGTATATTGCAGTACCTTTTCACTAAGCTCTAAAGGGCTGATCCTGTTGTCCCTCATTCCGATCTCAACCCTCAACTGCTCCAGTATATCACACTTCTCACCTTTTTTTTTGCTTAATACCTTCAACCGCCCACATGGCAAACCCAAAACATGTCTAATATCATTGACCGTCACACGCACCTTTGTTCCATCTGCAAGTTCAAGACTGCTACTCCTAGGATTGAATTTATCTACCACCCAAAATCCTAGTTTCGCAGGAAGTTCAGTTAACTTGATCCTTAACATAGACCCAAACCCAATCCTAACAACATCCCGCCTCTGAACATCGTTCAAAGCTTCAACCACTTTTTGCAAAACGCTGGAGAAGCTCTCGACTGAATTCGTGGGTACTTTTCCTTCAATTTTGTAATCCCCTGCCTCTTTCGTTTCTTTTCTGTTCCTGCATTCTTCCTCGAAGTGCTCGGTGATGGGTCAGTTGACGTCTTCCGTGGTGGGTCTTCAAATGCATCATCACTGTCAGTCTCCTTATCTACACTCCCATCATCATCTCCCCCACTCACTTCATCATCTCCAGACACATCTGAACCAGCATTCTCATTCCCATTTGCACCACCATCTTCCACAGAATCTTCGTCATCCTCACCCAAGTCGACATGCTCTGCGTGTACTTTTGGCCTTTTCTTAATCTCTGCAAGCTGCAATCTACCGCTTCTTCGTATCGGTGAAGCCATTACAACTGTTTTCTTGCTGCGCTTGACACTTTTTTTGAAGGCAAGATCTGCAGGCCCCACCAAAAAAACCAATAACAAATACTCGTAAGCAAGGATGCAATGACTAATCACATCATAAAAAATAACAAGACCAACGTGGTGATTGTGTCGACACCCAAACAAAAAAAACCACACCAAACAACACAAAACTCGAATATCCAAACCATTTTACACTTTAAAGAATCAAACCCATATGTAATAGTATAAAATGCACAAAATTTAAATACACAACATTTCTATATACCAAAAAAAATACCAAACATAATGCAGATTAATAACAAACACATTGATACAGTATCACATTTTTAACGAAGCTAGATGCACAGTAAGCACTCATCTATGCTAATATTAAAGCATACGTTGTGCAAAGCTAAGCAAACACCAACTACTACATTATATGCATCAGACCACAAACAGAATTTTTGACTCCAGCTGAACACAATTGAACTCCACCGCACCAATGTCAAAATGATAAATTCTTTCAATACCATATCCCAAAACTCACATCACTGCTTACCATGCACCCAAAAAAAGTTAACCTCAAGCCACATTAAAACGTTTTCCACACTCACAGTAGCTCATTGCTCAAGACCAAATCATGACTCTTATTCATCCCATTTGAATCACATAAATCTATAAAATGCAATCTAAAAATATAACTCTTATGAATGCAATGCACAGTATTAGTAACAAAAGGATCACTAAGCAATAGCTCTTCACCATGGGGAAACCCATGCATTAACAGAACGAACACTACAAAATAAGCCAAACCATGTCATACATTGGCATATCCATACTACTTAAACCACTCAATCCAATATAACTTCACTAATACACACATACCAAAACGTAATAAACACCATAACTTATAAACAATCACCATAGGCATCCAATGTATATCTCATAAGCAGGATACTTTACGAAAACCTAGATTCTTTCTATACTTACAGCAAATTTATTCAACACTTCAATGCTCATATAAAAACCCAGCAGAATGTCTATTGCACCACAACAATATAATCTACTAAAAAAAAGGCCAAACATGTTGCACAATTACAATAATTTAGTGCAAATGTGATAAGGACACATTAGGCAGACACAAACACTCAATCAGAACACAAAAATGCACTATAACATATTCTAAACAAACAAATGAGGATCAGTTTGCACACAACTTAAAATTGTTAAGAATAATATCACAGTACGCATAATTCATTCACCAATACAGCATCACAACATCAAAAAACCAGATGCCCACATGCAATACACGAAACGCAATCACACTACGCCAATGAATCTTTTAACAAATAACAACACTATCTATTACCTACACTAAAAAGTCAAACAAAACCTGGAAAACCCCATATCCATGTTTCCAACTGATTTAATATATTCACAAAACACAGAAAACACTAAATTCAAAATACCAATTCACATTGCTCAGATTCAGCACATCCTAATTTTTTAAATCAACCCAAACTGCACATCATCATCAACATGATGCAAACACACGACACTGCACCACTTAAAATCATCAGAACATAAATAAACATCCATCATCCATATACTTATAATGAAGAAAAAACCCACATACAACTTAAAAAAAATCATTTTGTCCCAGATTTAGAGAATAAATAAAAACACAAATCCTCGAACTAAGACAAAACACATGCAAAAAAAACCCAAACCACAACCAAAACCCAAAACCCCTACCAGTAGCCAAATTGTGCAGTAAGACACAATTTTTTCCTCAATCAACAACTATCATGTGTAAAGAATGCATCCTTACACACATGCAAAAAAAACCTAAACCCACGCCGCCCAAAAAACACCCAAAAATTGGAACATACCAGATACTCCTTCAGCCTCCATCTCTGCAATCTTCTTTCCGCGGTACGAAACGGGCGGAAGTCCGACCCAAATGCTCCAATAACACCTTGAGACTGATAAATCGCTGCACCACTAGCGGAAGAAAGGCATCGCAACCAGGGAGGTTTATTGAGAAGCGAAGAGTCCTATTCTGAGACTGCGGCTTATTAGGCGGGATTCTCCAACATCTACGCATTTCAATAAAATCAAATCTCCCAAATATGCCCCTCCACGATTCTACTGTCAAAAGGAGTGTTTAATAATAATTACACTTCCTAATTTAAAGGTTGTTTCTCAGCCACACGATTGGATTAATCCTAGGCTCCTAATCCATTCTTATTTTTTTCATTGAGACATATTCTTATTAGAACCCAACCCTATATATATATATATATATATATATATATATATATATATATATATATATATTTATTAACCAAATTTTATTGAAAACGGGTGAAGAACACGTTCGGAGAGGACCAAACCAAAGCCCCGAAGGTATGGAACAAAACAAAAGAAATACAATGAAAAGAAAGTAGAGGGTTAGTGCATGACGACCCCTCTGTTCCAGCATCCACTGAGTCCAATATCCTCCAGACCATTTGCCTTCATCATCCAAGGTCTTCTAGAGTGCAGGCTTGCCCAAGTTTGAGTCATAAAAACAATGTTATGATGGATGCGCATAAGATTGATCGCTTCGCCGCCAATTATGTGTGCGGAGTAGGATTTCCATATTGCCCATAAGAGGAATCCTGGCAAGCAAGCTCGTAGAATCCCTTTCAAGTTGTTCTTCGAGGAGGAGATCCACCATTGGAAAAGGTATTGTCTTAACGTTATCCCTTCTCTCAACCTTGGCCCATCTGTATAGTATGCATATAGGTTCCAAATAGGCCTGATTTTTTCACATTGAAGCAGACTGTGGTTCAACGTATCATTGTCATGCATGCAGAAAATGCACCTCGAAGGAATATTGTAGTTCATGGTACGGAGGGTTTCAGGAAAGGGGAAGCAACCATTTATTATTTTCCATTAGAACAGACGAATCTTCCCTGGTAGAAGCTTGTTCCATGTGTATCTTGTCGAGAAGAGGATAGGAGATGAGTCCCTAAGCAGGTTGTAAGTGTCCTTCATGCAGAAACTGGAGTTTAGAAAAGAATCCCTGACCTCCTCAGCCTACCCAACCCTATATATATATATATATATATATATATATATATGTGTGTGTGTGTGTGTGTGTGATGATCATGGGCTTAGGGTTTGTAGAGAGAGAGGGAGACGCCACCCACCGGCGATGAAATTGGGATGGCGGATGGAGATGGTCTCAACATCGTCAACGATGGAGAGACGGAAGGTTTCAAAGGCCAAATCACCCTACGAGGAAGAGCGATTTCAATCGCGATTATTGGGGGAGGGACAGAGACAATTCATTCAAAGGCAAATACTGCAGTAAGGGTATTAGAGGACCGGTGATTAAAGAAAAGGGGATGATCGCAATTGCAATTGAAAGCAAGGAATTCATTATCGCAGCTACAAACACTATCACTATCTCCGAGAGAAAAAATGGTAAGATCCACCAAATATCAATCTCTAAATCTTCTGCAATTTGGCTAGCTGAAACTTTAAACCACCCTCCTCTGGAAAGGGTTGGGTGGGCTGTATCAAGATTTGAGGGGTCTTTCGTAACTAAATTTCAAAGGGATTCCAATAGATATGGAAACTATGTTAGAGTTATTGCAGGACAAGAGGGTAGGGTCGGAAGTATCTTCATACCTACTGGACCCAACTCAGAAGGCATTTTTCTCCTTGTCAAAGCCATCACTGATGCTATAAATCTTAGAGGGGATAATGCATATATCCCAAGAGAAGAAAGGGTTGACAAGGAACAAAAAGGGTTTGAGGAGCCTTCTTCAATGCTAAATATGTATGGAAAAAAGGTAGAAACAACAGAAGAAGGAATAACTAAGAAAGGTGAAGATATGGAAATGAGGAAGCCTTCAATTTCTTCTGAGCTGTTAGACTTAGATATACAAGAAGCAAATATGGTAGGGGACGGATCAGATAAGGGCCAGAAACAGCAACAAGAGGGCAGTGAAGAAGATCAAACAGAAAAACTTTTCCTACCAGTCTTTCAAGCATACTTTGATGCTCTCTTTAAAGCAGCGGAGAACCAAATTAAAGAGGCATTGGCGAAGAAAGAGTTATTGGATAATCTCAAAAAGGGATTGCTTCCCAATCAACATGGAAAAGCTTTGAGGGCAACAAGGGAAACAATTAGAAGCATGGACATGGTTACCATGGTAAACTTTGAAGGAGCCAAATATCCTGTATTCATTTCGTACTCCAATGCAGATAAGGAGACAGTGGCAGAGTTCTTATCAGGCGAACCACAGGAGAATTGAATTAACTACTAAGAGTTGAGTCTTATATGGTGACCCATTTGGGGATAGGTTTGTTGTTTAACTTAGGTTATAATCACTTTGCCTGGGTTTCCACTTCTTTTACGCTATTCGGATTATGTTTTTCGTTTGAATAGACACTTAAATCCAGGGTTTTTTTTGGTCTGATTGTCTTGGGCTTTGGGTTCGGGTTTTCTATTAATTAAAAGTGGTTTAGGAAGTAGTCTCTTTGTTGCAGTTCGGTGTTATATATGGGGTCATATGGTTTCAATCCCAAACGTTAGGGACATTTGGTGTTGGTTTTGTGGTTTCTATCTTTGGCAACTATGCTTGGTTGTGGACTCTCTAGATTATGGGAAGGCAGACTCTTTGGGCTGAATAGTGATCATTTCCGAAGAGGAAGAAGACTGGGAGGAGTATATTCTGGCTAAACAGGTAGCTTGGCTGTGGGTTATTGGCTTATAGGAGGTGTCTTCTGGATAGAAAGTTTCAAAGGGAGAAGTCAATTATGGGTTGTAGTAATAGCCACATCCTTGTCCTTTTGCTTTTAGTACTGTTTCTTTTGGCTTGTAATCTGTGGTTTATTTTGGCCATTTGTTGGGGACGGCCACCCCCACCTCATGTACTTTTCTTCTTTTATGAATAAAAATATAATTTAATAAATAAATAAATATATATATATATATATATATATATAAAAGAAATAATATTTAATTATAACATATTTTGACAAACTTAATTATTATATAATTAAAATGTCCAAAATATATACTACCTCCGTCCCAGAGTATTTTTCCACTTTCATTTTTACACACCATCCAATACACTTCTTTAATCTATTTTATCTTGTAATTTGTATATTAAAAAATTATAGAAATTATATATTAATAATCTATATGTTAAAACAAATCAAACAAGATCACACATGACTATATTTAGGCTTACACATTGAGAGGATTTGATGAGTCAAAGTGCTTAGATGAACAGTTCCAAAAGTCAAAACTAGACGAATACTCCGGGACGGAGGGAGTATATCTTACCACATTGTGTCACATGCAATGTGTACAATATATTTTACTAAATATTTTATTTTAGTCCTTAACAATATTCTACACCATCAAATGTTCTATGTGTGTGACCCTCTTCTAGGTTACCCATAACGTTGGACATAGTATTAAAATACTACAAGTGACAAGCGGTATCCAGTTATAGATATAAAGCTCTTAAAACAATTTCTTCATTGACACATTTCATTTAATAACTTTTATCCCTTTATTACTAATATCTAGATTTAACACAAGGTATGCGATGTCTCACCTTGTTAAAGTTAAATAGAAGGTTTACTTATTATCTTGATCGACTTTTGGGATTCAGATAACATTAATATTGTTGAAACACGGGTTATCACGTTTTCGTACTAAAGCCGTGTTCGTTTTTATGGTAGGTTTTGATAATGCCAAACCTCCGTGATCAAGACAAAGTGTTGAATATACAAGGCGAGAAACGAAGATAAGAACAAGAGCTAAAAGAAGACCAAGAACGAAGACCGTTATTTTAGTGTCGTTGAGTCGGTCACAAATGTGATCAAGACCGACCCAAACCTCACGCCTTGGCTCTTTAGGCTAAAACCTTTTATTGCATTTCTCATGTCATAAAAATGTTCTTCAAACATGTTTAACACATTAAAAACGCTTGGTGCTTGCCCAAACCAAAAACCAAGCCATCCAGCGTTCGGCTTTAAGAAACCGGCATTCGGCTTTCAGAAACCGACGTTCGGCATTCGGTTATCGGCGTTGGTTTTTGGCGTCCGAACCAACCAAGTGGTTTTCAACATTTTATGATTGGTTTTTACTTCTGGGCAGGTTTAAACACTTTTCCAACAAAAACACTTTAAAAACCAATTTTCGTTTTTGGTCGTTTGGCAAAAACCATGCAAAACGGTATAAACTTGGCTAGCCGTGATTTTCACTCAAATGACGTGGTTTTTAAAGTGTCTCACTTGATTTATTAGCCAAATACATTAAATAAGTTTTCTAAACACTTGGTTTTTATTTTGGAGAACTTTGCACTTTTCGGTCGGTTTTTGGATCGGTTGGCTAGGCCATGGTTCAGGCAAAAATCATGGGTTTTTGACTAACCATCCACCCAGCGATGGGAAGACTTACCCACCGATGGGTAAGTGGACCTTCTGGCCAACCAAATTCGAGAACCATGCCAAACAGCGATGGGAAGTTCTACTCATCGCTGTGCAAACCTTGGTCCAATATTAACACAAGGCAGAATGCCCTTACCCAGCGATGGGAAACCTTACCCATCGATGGGAACCCAGCGATGGGAGGGGATACCCATCGCTGGTTAGGCATGACCGTTGTAAGTCATTTAAGGCTGATTCTTTCGTTGTTTGAAAGTCAACCTCCCACCCAGCGATGGGAAAAGTTTACCCATCGATGGGTAGGTGACCGTTGCCTTCAAAACTGAAGGAAAATTGGCTTGCCAGCGATGGGTAGGTCCATACATCGCTGGGAAAGCCAATATCCTGCAGATCCACATTTTAATAGCAATCCCATAAATCATGCCAATCACCCTTTTAATGCCTTGGTCCGTTGGAGCCTATTTTGGCACTATAAAAAGGGGTGTTTAGGTCTGCTTTACTCACCAATTCACTTCACAATATTCATATTATCATTGCATTCAAACAACATCATTTTCCATAGCTTTCTAGAGCCAATTCGTGTGAAGTTTGAGTTGTTCTTGAGCGTATTTAGTTTACTCAATATCTACTCTTAAAGAGAGTCTCGTTCTTGAGTGTATTAGTGTTCTAAGACACGTTGAGAGAAAGTATTTCTCTCGTTTGATTCGAAGGAAGGCATGTTTCCTTCGAAGGACTTGTTGAGGTTTATGTAACTCGAATTCTCAAGGTGTAAGGGTTTGTTAAGCATCGTTAAGCTTAACGAGATAGTAGTGTAGCTCGAGAGAGTCTCTCGGGAGGCTGGATTAGCCACAAGTTATGGTGAACCAGGGTAAATTCGGTGTGCCTCTTACTCTTCTCTTTATTTCTTCTTTAAATTTTTTATTCCTGTGATTTCTACGATCGAACATTATTCACCCCCCCTCTAGCGTTGGTCATTTATTCGAACAAATATCATGTATACTAATTTATCTGGGTATGGTCATACACTTCCTAAGTCACATCAATCAGTGGGCCCGTAGATATCATACTTCCATAAAGGAAGGGATAAATCTTGTCTATGTCATTCACATCCTTGCTTAAGTTTTACTAAATACCCAAGACATAATTATACATCCACTAATATTTCAAATGGCATTAATTATATCTCAAAGCATGCGGCTATGCTTACCAAGAATCGTAATGACTTCAAGTCTAAGGATAGTTATATAAATGGTCGTATGAAAATACTATCAACACATTTTTTGGTATACCCATATAGTATTTTCATGGCGGGTCAATCCAGCAGTATATCCAATATGTTTGCCTACGTCTAGATTCTGATAACACCTTATCTATAGCCTATGAGACGCAGGTATCTCATCTCATACGTATTAGTCTTAATATATTATGACGTCTGTATTATCATAATATTCGACTAATGATATTTTAGATCTAGCCTCTATATTTGTAACAGTCTCACAATCAGAACATCGTAGTTCTCATCTTTGTTACTAGAGCACTAATCTATGGACTGAAGCTATGTCTAAAGTACACGAGATTATTTAAACATTCTTAAAAACCTTTATTCTTGAAATAATCTAGATACAAATCATAAGTTGGCCTCTAGGGCTTACATATATTCAACAGAATGTTGATAGCCTTGGTGTGTTCTCTATCTTCTTGATGTCCTCTGCATCGTATTCATCTACGGTTATTGGAGCAATGGTTTCCCCAACCTTCTTTGTGGGCACTTGTTCACCCTTTTTGATGATTCGCCACAGGAGAAAGTTGGTGGATTGAATGTAGATCCTCATTCGCTCTTTCCAATATGTGTAGTTGGTTCCGTCAAACAACGGCGGCCTCGTGGTGGATTGCCCTTCACCTATCCCTACATATAAGTTTTGAGTAGAAGTCATTATTGATCGTTTCTCATAAAAACGGTTAAGTCTTTCAGAGAGTATGACTTTGATACCAATTGTTAGAATAAAGGCTCAACGCTAGAGGTGGTGAATTTAAAAAAAAAATCGCAGGAATTTAAAAGCGCATTGAAGGAAAGTAAAGAGCGTAAGGAAGGAGCACACCGTATTTTATACTGGTTCACCACAACTTGTGGCTAATCCAGTCTCCTGAGAGACTCTCTCGAAAGTCCTACTAACTCCGTTAAGCTTAAAGTTGCTCAACAAACCGATACAACTTGAGAACTCGAGTCACACGAGCCTCAACGCCACTTGCTCAGAGATACCGCATTTTAAGACTTCACAGTGCAGGTAGGAAATTAAATCCCATTCCTATACTACTTAGGAAATTTCGAATCCCACTTTAAGGAAGCTTCCAATTTATTTTGTCAACTCTAATTATCATATAATTAACACAAAATAAATAATATAACATTTATTATATATACATATATACGAAATATATATATACTTACATATATATACGACGATATATATATATATATATATATATATATATATATATATATATATATATATATATATATATATTAAAAAAAATTTTTTATTAATATTATTGGAACGGTCGGTTACAAGCAGGGGGCCCTAGGTCCGTTAACCTCGTGACTACCCCGGGGCCCGTTAAACACCCGAGGCAGATAGCCCACTATAAGAAGTCCAATGAAAGCCCAATCTAAAGCCCAACCCCATAAATCTGCAAACACTTCCCAGGGGGTCACCCATCATTTCTGCTACTCCATGGCCAGCACGCTTAACTCTCTTAAAATTCCCCCAAAGTTGCTCCTTCTGAGGATCGAACCTGGGTGGTGTGGTTCGCCAATCAACCCTGTGNTACAAGCAGGGGGCCCTAGGTCCGTTAACCTCGTGACTACCCCGGGGCCCGTTAAACACCCGAGGCAGATAGCCCACTATAAGAAGTCCAATGAAAGCCCAATCTAAAGCCCAACCCCATAAATCTGCAAACACTTCCCAGGGGGTCACCCATCATTTCTGCTACTCCATGGCCAGCACGCTTAACTCTCTTAAAATTCCCCCAAAGTTGCTCCTTCTGAGGATCGAACCTGGGTGGTGTGGTTCGCCAATCAACCCTGTGACCATCTCTACAGGGGGAATATGTAAGTATATATATATTTCGTATATATGTATATATAATAAATGTTATATTATTTATTTTGTGTTAATTATATGATAATTAGAGTTGACAAAATAAATTGGAAGCTTCCTTAAAGTGGGATTCGAAATTTCCTAAGTAGTATAGGTATGGGCTATTTGGAAGGCAAACAGTGCATGCGTATATGGAGGTGAGAAGGTCTCGATTAGGAGTATTTACTATGCTATTATCAACTGGATTAGAAGATGGACCCATATGCACTCGGGACGTACGTAGTTAATGAAGTCAAATGGGATGGAGGACCTGGGACTCTCGGAATGCTGGAACAAAGGTCATAGATATTAGTTTGGTTCATGTTCCTCATTTCTTGTTCTTCATTTTTTGCTCGGGGTTTTGGCCTAGTCCCCCCCGTCTTTGTATTCAGCTCTTATTTTAATATATATATATATATATATATATATATATATATATATATATATATATATATATATATATATATATATATATATATATATATTATTAATTAGATTTGACAAACTTAATTATCACAAAATTAAAATGTCCAAATATAAATATTTATTTATATATATACGTTTCTGTATTTAATTATATTGTCATACAATATAATATACATGTATTACGCCACCTTGGGGACCAAGGCTACACGCACGGCACCAACAGCCCAGAAGGAAGTTGGTCTCCTAATTTCATTAGGTTTCCTTTGCCATCCTTGTTTCCTTACTTGTGGGAATTCTTTTCCTATTAGACTTTGGTTATTTCTCCTTCCTATATATTAAAGGGAAGTCTCTTGTACAAATACAACACACAAGAATAAAAGAATTAATTTACTTCTATCTCCACATACGCACGGTTTCTACATGGTATCGGAGCACCAATCGACGCCATGACCGAAACACCCAAACCCGATTCGACGCCCAAAAAGACGGATGTCAACGATGATTAGAAGGGTATGAAGCCTAGCCCATACGACATGAAATCTGTGGACACTCCTGGCTTGTTGATTACGCAAGTCAAATTGACCGGAAGAAACTACGAAGAATGGGCGAGAGCCATGAGAATCGCTCTACGTGCCAAGAGGAAATTTGGTTTCATCGATGGTTCCATACCCTGTCCAGACGATGATGACGAGGAAGTAGAAGAGTGGTGGATCGTGAACGCCATGCTCGTTTCATGGATCTACAACACAATTGAAACGGATTTACGGAACTCCATAACGCAAGTCGAAGTGGCCGCCGACTTATGGAATGACATCAAAGCAAGATTTTCTGTGGCGAATGGCCCACGGATTCATCAATTGAAGAAGGAGCTGGCGAACACCAAACAAAACGGCCAAGAAATCATCAAACATTATGGGAAACTAAAGGCAATTTGGGACGAGCTCTACGACATGTTGAAGGTGCCGACTTGCAAGTGTGGAGGGTGCAAGTGCGGTCTCACCGCTTTGTTGGAGAAACAGCGTGATGAAGAAAAGGTGCATCAGTTTTTTATGGGTCTGGATAATGAGGGCTATGGCAGTCTACGTTCAAATATTCTCAGCACCGAGCCTCTTCCCACGATTAATCGAGTATACTCTATTATTACTCAACAAGAAGGTGTGCTAAAAGTGACGACAGAAGAGGAACGAAATCCTGTATGATTTGCCGTGGCCACTGGAAAATCGACCCGAGATAATACTCTCAAATGCAAACATTGTGGACAATCGGGACATGAGATAAGCGGATGCTTCCAGATTATAGGCTATCCGGAATGGTGGGATGACCGCCCACGGCTGCAAGGAGGAGGTCATGGTGGCGGACGCATTGGTGGCGCGGTACAGGCAGGCAGAGGAGGCGGCAGGGGTCACGGCATAGCCGGTCGTGGTAATGGCTACCGAGCAGCTGACAGAACCGAATAGAGAGATAAGAGAGCTGAGGGGCAGTTTGCTGGACAGGCCGAAGTGCATTGCGAAAACCAATTCTCAGGTACGAAAATTGGTTCTTGGATTATTGACAGTGGTGCTAGCCAACATACATGACTTGAGAGAGAGACAAATTGATGAACATCCGGAGTGTAAAAAAGTTCAGAGTCGGCCTTCCTAATGGTGAAAGTGCGGCAGCCACGCAAGCAGGGGATATCGTCCTGAATAAATATCTAAGATTGACCGATGTGTTGCTAGTTCCCAAACTCAACTGCAACTTAATTTCTGTCTCTCAACTTCTTGGAAAAGAACGAATGATTGTCTAGTTTACTAACAAATTTTGTATGATACAGGATTGTACCTTGAAAACGGTGATTGACACGGGTGAACAAGCTGGTGGTCTATACTACTTTGTCGAAGGAACGTGTGACAAGGCATGCGATGTGCGGGCGACGAAGGATCTAGCTGTCTGGCATCAGCGACTTGGTCATCCCTCTCCATAGATTTGTCGTTTTCTTCCTTTTTATTCTTCTTCTAAAGATGTCTCCTTACCTTGTGATGTATGTCTTCGTGCTAAACAGTGTCGTGATTCTTTTCCTACAAGTTTGAATAAATCTGATACTCCTTTTGAATTAATACACTGTGATCTGTGGGGGGGGTACTGTACGGCTTCTCGTATTGGGGCAAAATATTTTCTGACAATCGTTGATGATTTTTCACGAGCTACCTGGGTGTATCTTTTAAATCACAAAGATGAAACACCAACCTTTTTGCACAATTTTTTCTCGTTCATTCACCGTCAGTTCAATGCTCAAATAAAAACATTCCGAAGTGACAACGGAACGGAATTCACGTGCATGAACCCTATTTTACCTCTCAAGGTATCATTTTTGAGTTTTCTTGTGTCGGAACTCCCCAACAGAACGGGAGAGTCGAACACAAGCATCGCCATATTCTCAACATTGCACGTGCACTCCGTTTCCAAGCCAACCTTCCTATTTCATATTGGGGTGATTGCATCCTTACTGCAACTTATCTTATCATTCGCACTCCTACTCCTCTTCTCAATGGGAAAACCCCGTATGCCATCCTGTTCGGTCAAGAACCGTCATATACCCATATTCGCACTTTTGGGTGTCTTGCCTGTGCTCACAATCAATTAACTCACGGGGACAAATTTGCAAGTCGCTCGCGTCGTTGCCTTTTTCTCGGGTATCCTTTGGGGCAAAAGGGATGGCGTTTGCAAGATTTGGAAACAAACAAAACTTTCGTCAGTCGAGATGTGAAATTTGTTGAAGATTCTTTTCCTTTTTCATCTTCAACCCAGCCTTCGTTCCCCGTTACCCCACCGGCTGATGACTTCGTCGAGGACGAACCATCCGTCATTCCTCCCTCCGACCCTCCCAATCCTCTTCCCCAACCTGTCATCACCAACCTATCCCCACCACCTATACTACCTGACATTCCTGATCCCATTCCCACCGACACTGACCAACCTGAGGACACCCATGCCGAACAACCAATCATTTTACCCGAACCCAATCCTGTCCGTTCTTCGGCTAGGGAACCCACTCGCCGCAGCCAACGCAATCATCGTCCCCCGTCACATCTTCGTGATTTCGTCATGCATACTGTGAGAAGTACACCGGCTTGCTCCACCGTTCCTCTCCCGACTTCAGGTACGGCTCACTGTATTACTAAATTTGTTACCTGTGATAATTTTTCTTCTACCCATCGAAGTTTTTTGGCAGCAATTATTGCAGATGAGGAGCCCACTAGCTTCAAGGAAGCGGTCAAACATCCCCAATGGCGAGCCACCATGAAGGACGAACTAGACGCCCTTGGCGCTAACGGAACTAGGTCCTTGGTTCCTCTTCCGCCACATAAAAAGGCAATCGGCTCCAAATGGGTCTACAAGATTAAACACAAATCCGATGGCAATATTGAACGCTATAAAGCCCGTCTTGTGATCCTCGGCAATCGGCAGAAAGAAGACAATGATTACAAGGAGACGTTTGCCCCCAACGCCAAACTTGTGTCTGTCCGAGCCTTGTTGGCCGTGGCTGCCGTGCGGAACTGTAGTCTCCATCAAATGGATGTCCATAATGCGTTCCTCCATGGTGATCTTCAGGACGAAGTTTACATGCAACTTCCCCCAGGCTTTGCATCCCGACGGCAAGGTTTGGTTTGCCGCCTGCACAAGTCTCTTTATGGCCTTCGACAAGCACCTCGCTGTTGGTTTTCTAAACTCACCAATGCTCTTCGTGCGTGGTGGTCCCAAAGTGGTGAGATACAAAGTCTAGAGGGGGGGTGAATAGACTTTGTTACAAATTTAAAATCTTTTTCGTTTCTTTTGAAAACGTGAAAATAAGTGTTAATCTAGAGTTCTTGAGAACTTTAGATTGTGTGCGGAATTTGGTGGGTAGAGTGAGCAGTAATCAATATGGATGGGTTAGTTTTCACAGTTAATNTTGACCTACCCCCTTTTTAATCAAGAAGTTTGATCAAAAAGTTGTATCCTTCAACGTGGTGTGGTACTTGAGGCAAGGAAACCTTCAAGTGTTTACACTATAGCTCTTTGGAAGGAGGAGGAGTTTGCTTCTGGATAAGGAGTTTAGAAATCTCTCTTTATCAAGCTTTTTGGGCTAACTGTGAATGAGATATCTTTGTTTTAGATTGCTTCGTTGTGTTGTTGTATCAACGTATCTCATTCTTCATATCTTCTCCAGTCTTCCAAGGATGCTATTTATAGCTGGATTGGATAATCTATCCGTTGAATCATAATAGACTATCCGTTGCATTTTCTGGCTTCAATTTTGAATGAAGATTGTGATTTGAAGATTCTTCGTTGAAGTGGGTGTTTGGACATACCCAATTGTTTGAGAAGTGATTCCATTTTTCTCAGAATCCGTCTTCTAGCTGTTGTTCAAGAATTCTGAACTGTAGCACTTTACTCTGTTTGTCTTCTTGTGCTTGTTTAGGAATTCTGGACAAGCTCTTCAATTTAGAGGGCCAGACTTTGTCTTCGAGTCATTTGTTCTTGAATCAGCATAATTATCTTCAATCTAGCCGTTGAAAATCAAGAGATTGATTTTTCCTTACCAACGGGTAGAATTTCTTCATTCAGAACTTAGATAATTTTTCTAAGTCTTTTCTCACTTGTCCGCTTTCTGAGAATTCCGGTCTTCAGTGAGTCTTCCGATTCTTAGCTGACAAATCCGGATGAGTCATTTTCAGACTTCCGGGTGAGAAAGAGATCCGCGCTAGTCTTCCGATTTGGATGACTTAGCCTTCAGCGAGTTGTAGCGAGACATCCGGTTCTTATGTAGTCTTCTGGATCTGAGGATTTACATCTGATTGAGAAATCCTTACTTGTCTCTGACATTTCCGAACAAGATATCCAATTTCCATATCACTGAATTTGATTAAGTCTTCAGGCATCAAAACGCTTAAGGAAATATCACAGCTTTATTGGAAATCTCAAGAGCTCGGTTTTGAGAATATTTCTAAAAATAAAAATTACATTGAATAATGGGGGAGACCTAAAGTCCCTATTACATTCTAAATACATCATCATCAAAATCTATAATATTTTTCCCAACAATTTCCCCCTTTTTGATGATGACAAACAAGTGTTTAAGAGTTCCGGTCGCTGTACTGATAACTAATTTTATAACTTTCTTTTAGTTTCTCATAATATACAGCTTGTTAACAAAAACTCTTAAGCAAATACAATTCAAATTACAATAATTCCTAAACCAAGTCTTGTCTTGAGATTTTGTGATATCTTCCGCCATTGACCGTTTTCAGCTTTAGCAGATTCTGCTTGGCGGAGCGGTTGGCGTTGCGTTTGATAGATCTCTATTATCCAAAGTGGATAACCAAGATCTAGGAAGCAACACATCTTTCAAAGACTAAAAATAAAAATGAAAGAAGAAAACAAAAGAGAGAATGTTGTTCCAGAGAAAGTGTATGGTATAATCTTGAAAAATACGAGAATTACACCATAAACTTTCTCTACTGCCGAGAATTGCACCATAAACTTTGAATTACTTTCTTTCTCACTAGGCTTTTCTCCATTGCCGTCTATGAGGGTGAGAAAGAGAAATTTCTCCATTGAGGATATTTTCTTGGTGTTTTTCTCAGACAGTGAACTTGAAGACTTTCATATTTAGAGAGTTGTTTGTGATGGAAATGGATTGGGATATCTTGATTTAAATAGGGGAGGAGGAGGTTCACGGGTTCCATTAAGTGGGTAGTTGGAACGGTGAGAGTAAAGGAGTTTCAACTTCCAAGAAGTTGAAAAGTAAAAGGAATCTTTTACCAGTTACGAATGGATTGAAACTGTTCCAATTAGAAAATCAGTTTCATTTGGTTTGAGAAACGTAACTGTTTTAGTTTGGCTAAGCCCAAAAGAGTGGCCCAAAAAGAAAAGAAAGCT